GTTGTAGCAGTTTCATTAAACAAATAATACAAAAAAAAAAAAACTGTTTCATTACAATCTTTTCTTTTGCTGTAAGAAAAGGTAAAAGTAATACGGCCATAAGTCATCCAAAACTTTGCAAAAAAAAAAACTGTCAAGTTTACACTGACAGCCAAAAAGGGGGTTTTTAAATTGCTTCCAAAAATTAACAGTTTCTCTATGCTCTTTTTACTTCATACAGGAACGCATGAAAATGTTATGTATTTAATAAAGCTTTTTCTTTTCCTTTTTTTTTCAAATCAGTGTCTGAGAGATAAGAGATTTGGTTGTATTAATTGTACTGTGAATGAGTCCACAACTTTAGTACAGGCTTAGACTGGGAGTTCTCGAAATTTATCAAGCAGTGATTATTTGTTTGGCTTTTCTTAGGTGTTATTTTCAAATGTATATGCTTTAAAGCCATAATGCTATAAGAAAATTTTTAATTTCGGTAAGCGCTAATTGGACTTGAAAAAGGAATGAAGTTTTCATTTGATGAATCCTTATGAATATTTCTGACTTTTTTAGCATAAGATCAATTATTTTAATATTTCCTTTCCCATATAATTTATTAATCATAAGCTATGTTCTTGTATAGCTGTATAGCTCAGTAGAATACAGAATGAAGACTCTAGCATTAAGATTTCTTTATCGTTGGACTTAGGCCCAGTTGTCTTTCTTTAACATAGTCCAGACACAAGAAAAACAAGGAAGCTGGTTACTCGGTGACCCAGTGAACCAGGTCAAATTTAGATTCAAAACTTCATGATCATATTCTGGTTACTGTTTGGTACTTTAGCTCCTGGACGAAGTAGTTAGGGTCCTAATAATTTGGATCCCTTTAGGTTGGTTTAAGTTAATAATTATGCGAAAAGGTGCAGTGAGTTGTGGAAGTGTGAACTCGCGGTGTTTTTGTGCTGCAACACAGCGATACCGGCATGTTCGGTGTGTTGCTGTTGTTGGAGTGGCGGCAAAAATAAAGAAGTTTTCTATGGTTTGGGGAATGAAATATGAGCACTATTATTGTGAAGTACTGCACTACTTGGATAGGCTTGCATACACATAGACAAAGGCCTTTCGGGCAATGACAAATGACGGCCTTAAGGCCTGATTGTTACTATGCGTTGCTTTCTCCTTTCAGTGATTTACTGCAAGTCTGCTCCTTTCGGTAGTCTATATCAAACAGCTATTATTCGCTCCCATATGTATATACGTATTGCCGTAATACACAATGGATTGTGCTGCTTTGTCGCATTGTTATCAGCGGAGAGATCTATGCATGAAAGAGTCTTCTCTTTCAGCTTCTTTCTGATTTATCTCTTTTAATGTAAGAAATGATTCTACGGAGATCTTTTTGTTTCAGCACAAGCATACCATTTATTGACGATGATAACAATTCTTTTTATCCATTTCAAATTCCAGAACAAGTTATTTAGTATGGGGCTAGCAAGTTAGCATTGCATCATTTTACATTCTCATTACCTCACCTAATAGCAGTATACTGAACGCAGATAATATGGCATTATGCAAATTTATTATTGAATCAGTTTCAGTGGGACTGTTAAACAAAGAAGTTGCCAATTTCGCACGAAGTAGCAAGTTTTGAATTAATAATAAATTCAAGACACTGCTACATTTATTCTTCAGTAATTATTGGTTGAAAGAACGTTTAGATTTCATCAGTTGAGTGTTTAGGTCTCTTTTTTGTTACATTTTTAGGTGAATACCTCGAATTTCAGATCAGTATTCTATCTGTCAGCCTGTTATATGCTTTTTTCATTGCCGCCGTTAAGTCGAGCAGTTTTTCCATATGAACGGATTGTTTGCGACAAATTACCAACCGGACAAATGTTCCTTATCGTTGGAACATTGGACAATACATCATGTGTCACGTCTTTCATACTCACTTACTATTTCTCCGTTGCTAGCAGTTTATGGTGGCTTATGCTTACTTTTACATGGTTGGTACTTCTTTTTCAACATTTTATGAGTTGTTGCAGATGGCAGTGTTATTATGAAGGCAAACATTGCAGTGCTTATGCGGTGATGCATAATGATGATATTTTGATTCATTTAGAAAATAGACAAAAAACTGGGAAAACTGAAATGAAAAATTAATTTTTACTTTCTCTGATTTTTGTTGTCCTTGCAAAATTGCATCACAAGATAATTGAATCTCCAAAGTTTTAAACATTAATTTGACACATACTTATAAATCGGTCAACTGAACTGCTAAATTCGGATAAGGGTATTTAATAGATGACACTGCAGTTTTAAAAAAGATGGTTTTCAAAAAAATTCAAGGGCATTCTTACTATTCTTTCTTTACATCATATACAAAAGCGTATGGTCGAGAAGAACCAAAACTTAAGTTCAGAGTAATTGAATCAGTTCAAAATTTAATTAAAATATATTCCTTTTCTGTTATCTGGTTATTAGCCTGAAAGTGATCTATTTTCTTTTAATGAATATTCACAAAAATTTTGAATATTCACAAAAAATTAAAACAATAATAATAGTAATGATAATGTTATCATTATTGCTATTATTATTATTACTAACTATTATTATTATTATTATTATTGTTATTATTATTATTATTATTGTTATTGTTATTATTATTATTATTATTATTATTATTATTATTATTATTATTATTATTATTATTATTATTATTATTATTATTATTATTATATTATTATTATTATTATTATTATTATTATTATTAATTATTAATTATTAATTATTATTATTATTATTATTCACAATGCATCAGATATTGCAACGGGAAAAATTTTCTCGAATATTCAATTAAATGCAAAAATAGCAAATTTTTATTTCTCATTTGCTGGCATTTTCAATTAATTTCTGTAAAAAAATGCATTTCATAGTTTTCAGTGTTTGTTTTATTGATGTTGAAAAAGGGATGGGGAGAGGGAGAGGAAGAAGGAGAAAGAGGAGAGGAAGAAAAACAGGGAAAGGATGAGGAGAAGGAGGAAGGTGAAGGAAAGGGAGGAAACGAGGTTGAACATTTTCTAGATATCATGAACAGCTTTTTCTGCTTTTTTGCAAAAAATTTATCAAATATTTGAATTTAAATATTATATTTCACTCAAGTTTTTCTAATTATTAATTCATCAACAAGGATAATTAATTCTTGTATGATTGACAATGGCTAATAGTTGGACTAAAAATTCATTTCTCAACAATAGTAAAGTTTTCAAATATCATTCATTTTTAGCGTATTTCTGTTTTCTTCACTTATAAAAATTAATTAAAAGAAATTATCTACTGTAAGTTAACATTATATTTTAGAAATTGACACTTCGTATGTTTTTTGATGATTTAAATTCTTGCAACTTTAATTAATGCTAACATTATAATCATAATATAGTCATTAAAACAAAATACAAGAAAACGAAGAAAAATAAAAAGAAGGGGAGGAAACACACAAATTCATTTTTAAACTGTAATTTGAAATCATTTTGTACTTACGCAATAACGTAGTGAAATAATAATATAATCAAAGTGAACGAAAAAATTAGAACGTTTATTTGCGATATTGCATGGACGTGAAATTGTTTTTACAATGAAATTATTAACCATTTCGATGTGTTTAGGGATTTCGATATTTTATTCAAAACAGCAAAAATAGTAAAAGAATTAAAAGATTTGAACGGAAAAGAGAATTGTATGTGTTTCGATCTCCCATTCCTTCATGTGATAATTTTCATATATATTTATATCGATGTTTTGATAAATGAGAGCCAAACGGAAGCTATTATATTTATTATATATATACGTTTTTGATATTGTATTACATTATTTAATGTAATACAATATAATATATGGCATAATATAATGTAATATATAATATTAATATAATATAATATTAATATAATGCTAGTAGAATATAATATAATATAATATAATATAATATAATATAATATAATA